CCGGTCATAAACAAGTGGCGTCGAAACCATTTATTTGTGTCATAAAACATCTACTAAAATCAGAAATGTAATATATATTTTGTAATTCTTTTTAATTCAAAAGTCATTTTCACTCTTGCTATAGCATCATTGCGTTATACGCATACCGATCCCCCTGCGCAAAGGCATAAGGCAAGCAAAGGTACCGGTAGTTAGTTTCACGTAACCCCAACTGTTAGTTATATTTTGTAAAATGTACTTTTTAAACGATGACGATTCGTGATTTCTCAATCGCGGTATTATATTTGTAATTCGAATGGTCCTTTTCACCAAAAACAGGAAACATCAAATACTGTATCTGTGTAGGATCTGAGGTATGAAACCGCGATATCAGATATAAAGTTGAAAACAGAAAACAATGTACGATGAATGGTAAAATTATTGGGTCGTCGGTGACACCGATCCAGATAAATAGTTTCGTGAAGTGTGAACGCAATAATGTGGACTCAAAGTCGTCGACAATGCTAACGCCATCACGGTGTGTTGGCTTCTCATAAAATACCGCAGATAATAGCCCATTTCATTCTATATAAACAACTTTCTAGCCAATTTGCGCCTCGCCTTTTTGAGCTTGACTTCACGCTGACAAATTCTTATGATGATATAGCACGGAATAATAATAACCTGCCTTGGGCGTCGTTCAAAAAGATAATATGTCGCAGATCGTCGGTACACAAACTCACCTATTCATAACCTCTGTGTTCAAAATGGTGTGGTGGCTACGTGTATTCAATATTCATTCATTCTACCCGGACAGGCAGTCTATTATGTGCACATCCAAGTAATTAGGTCGCTCGAAATTTGTTTTTCTAATTTTTTAGGAGTTTGAAAGGTCGAATAATTTATGATAATTTCTGCGACACCATACCAAACACTAATGGTATTGACGCAAATATCAAACTTATTTTAAACTCGTCGAAAATGATCAACTAATCTACTAATCAATTCATGATTAAGCGTTTTATCAATGCAACCTTTCATTTCGAACGGCGCAAATATTTTACATTTTTTTATTTTGGTTTCCATAAATTATTCAGCCCCATACTTCAGAGTCGCCAGTAAATAGTACTCGCAGGAAAGGGTAGTATGACTTTGTTACACACGTAAGAATCAATATTTCTGTGCTTGTAGGATCATGTTACAGTTGGCTTTGTCGTTTTACGCCTTTTTATCGACGCCCACTCGGCTATTTGTATAGCGTTTGGCGGCGTATCCGCTTCCACGTCGATGGCTCAATCAAAATGTTTTGTCGCGCACGAACGACTTCCACCAATGTATTACTCTATCCGTCCTCTCCATCCCTTTTGGTACCGATAGCCGTCGCCTCAAAAACGTTATTTATTTAGCCTAGCGGACAAAATCCCATTCAGCAATCGGATCGGTCTTGGCTGTTAAGTTTCATTCTTATGGCTTCACTCAATCTTTAGTATTTATTTTTACATGCTGTGATTGATTAATTTCTCTTCGAATAATATGAAAATACATGTTGGCATTGTTCCATTGTGAGATGCGTCATCTTTGCATTGTCACGGTGCCAAAATCGCCCTTTCTATAACGTTGTATGATTAATTAATAATAAAAAATTACTATTGCACACTTTCGTTGCGATAGAATATTATTGCTTTCGTGGTATTGACCATAAACCAGTCCGCACAGTTATGCAAATGATATAAACGTACTTTTAATAATATTTATGTTTGCGGGCAGAAATGAATATTTTCGACGATCAATATTTGTCATCTTGTGCGTTGGTGAGATCATCGCAAACTTATTGGGAACCACCGTTTAAAATGTGAAGATATAGTGAATGATAGATACATGGATATTTTCCAAGCTGTTTTGTTTGTCGTCATCTCTTAAATCCTCTTTATCGCTTTGTTGTCGCCCGCGTAATGACATCCCCCTTTCTCATAACCACGGAGTCTGATTTCTATTGATCGATTTACGAGAGCTCATCGCGACAGTTTTTCTAATCGCGTTTCGTTTGGCGAAATATCACGGGAGCAAATCTATCGGATTATAAAAAATATAAAGGTTATCTCTAAGACCGGGCGTAATCTAATGTAAAGATTGTCTTGATTTGTTTAGTGATACACGGCCAAACAATTGCGATGACCAAATTTCGCCTCGCTCGAGATGAATGACGAAGAAAAAACAGTCGGAATGTTAAGCTTCGAATATCGTGTTTCCACTCGGCACAAATTCGACAAATAAAACTAAATTAACCCTTGCCGCCCAGTACTTGAACAATAGCACTCGGCGGTATTGATTTTTTGCTAAAATTGAAACTCTTCTTCGAAGAATTTATTTTGGATTTTTTAGTTATATACACTCTTGCAGTAAAAATACCAACACGAAGCAATATTTTACCAGCGTCGATACCAGTTTTAAAAATATATATTTTTCATTCATCCCTGTAGTCAGGGTTAACTCGCTTATGTTGTTGGGGTGATGAATTATTATCTGATACGGACGTCTGTAATAAATAGGTTATACTTTTTCAGACAAAAATCGCGCCTGGACTTCCGAAATGGAGAATACACAAAGCTCTGTATTGCGATTCTGTGAGAACTGGTCATACAAGGCCTCATGATAAAAATATTAGAATTTATAGGTTGCTCATGATTGATGATGCCGTGTATAGATGCTTGGAAGTGTTTACAGGCTGTTTCTCTCTTTAGTTTTACAACATTTCAAGAACTCGTTTCGCTCTAATCCACTGGCATTATCGACAATCATATTATTATCGCTTAATCGCTCTCCGTCATGATAAAGTTTACTTTAATTGATCCGTCAGTCGCTCGTGCAGGGCAAATTTCTTTTTTTCGTTACGACCTTGCACCGTCGGGATTCCATATTTTTTCCGATGCCAGATAAGGATCATTAGTTTGTTATTGGATGAACGATAAGAACCATATGTGTGACTTTTTCACATAACCAAGTACAGTATGCAGATGTAATATATAGTCAGTAGTCTATTTTATACCAGACGGCAACTGTGTTGTAGAAGCATACACGAGGCGAGTATTTACGCAATTTGCTATTTATTGGAAATAATCTCATGTCTAAATTATCAAGTTTTTTGCTAGAGAATTAGTGTATGTGCATTGAATTTACGTGACTGTCTGTATTTAGTCTTTACGTTCAATACTGTTATTGAGTTGTCATATTCAAGGGTATCAAATTTCAATCCTATAGATCGAATGATATTGGTGGAAATTTTACCCAGTTCTGACTCATTTTATTCGCTGTTGATATTGTGTGCGTATGGTTTATGGTTTCAAGAATATTCTAGATACTTGAATTTCTGGTAGTCAGTTATACAGAATGTCCATAAAGTCCTTTACGATTGAAATGAGCGATACATGGTAAGAGAACATCCTTATATTATATTTATTTATTCATATGCAAAGCGCAACGAAAGTGGTTTTATTTAGAATTATCGATGTGCTGATCGTACAGTGCGGTTAATTAGAAGCACTAGTAATGGTGATATCAACATAAGACGTGCATGCGCACAATAATCAAGAATTAAAGCTATTTTAGTATATAACCAAGGATAGGTTACTTATGTATTCAGATATATTTTATTTATTCCTTTGATGAGCAATAAAATTCACACGGTTATTATTTTGTAAACCGAAGACCCACGGCTCGGAAATCACTTATGTAAAATACTCTGCCATCCTTTGAAATATCGCAACGCGTAAATTACACTGCGATATATTGCGCTTCGGTATCTCATTCACGATACGATGTCACGTACCGTAAAATAATAATTCACCTACAAACACTGAAATGATTGCCTTTACGACCGCACTAGAATTTTAATGAGCGCGTGCCGTTTGGTGTTTGTCGTATTCGTCGAATTTCTCAAATTAATGTCATTCGCGCCTTGTAGCAATCTTACAATAATGCTTGGCGTTTAATTGCTGGTCTTTGCAGAATGGAACGCCGATTCTTTCTCTATTTTAACGACCCCCGGAAAAGCATTATTAATCTATAATCTCTTGTGCTGATACCACATGTTGACGATTATAATAATTATATGGACGGGGAGTGGGAATTTTCTTATTATAGCCGCTGTTGAATTATTAAACGACAAGCTTGCTGCGCTACGGATCGGACCCGTCGAGAGAGAAAGAAATTCTTGTTTTTACTTCCCACACACTTCGCCGTATTATCTTATTTTAATGCAGTGAGAGGAAAGGCATGCGTTGTGTCGGCTCAGTGGTTTTAGTTGTGAGTCAGTCGCTCTGCTCTATAAGCGGAGAACGAGGTGCGTTGATCGATTTCAAAAGCCGGAAAAGTTTATGTCAACGTTTTTACTTCGCGCCTTGCTGTTCATTGCCTGATTGGTTATGAGCGTTTTTATTGCCAGGAGGGTTGCTTGACATAACAGCTTACCGCAGTTGTTACCATATCCTGTATCGAAACGAGTGTCGCTTTACCTTGTAGCAATTACGGCCATACACGCTGAAGTAGTAGACCGCAATCGAGATACGCTGCCTGGATTAGCTTAATATATACAACATGCTTGAGAAAGCTCTGCATAATTATTCATCATCGAAGATTTGTTAGCTATCGAACCCCTGAAAGGTTCATTGTTTTGAAAAGCGTCAATGTGTATTGGCTGAATGAATGTAATTTACACCGCCCGCCACCATACTAATTGTTACTATTATTACCAGAAACGCTACGCCAAAAATAGGTAACATGATAGCTCTATAGAACGTGCAATAAATAAAATGAAGTATTGAGCATATGTTTAATGATCGCGTAGTTCAAAGAAGAAATTCTCATTATGTAGTTGAGGTTCGGTCGTGAATGAATATGTTCAAATAGAGTTGTATTTCTAGATAGCGATAAATTGTACAGAACAGTTTTTTTTTTATATTTAATTTTTTATGTAATTGTATTACTTGTACAATTTTGTATTTATTTTTTCTTTGTGTTTACAGGACGGAAATCCTTACATTAGCAACAGCGGTATGACACCGACTGATGGTGAAAACACGACAGCCAAACCCAGTACAGCATCTACAGCTATGTCGACCGCAGCTGTCAGCCTACCTGGACATTACACAAAATTGAATGACAATATAATATCAAAGTTAACAAATTTGAAAAATGATAAAAAGACCAATATAACTGCAAGGACAGTGCTATCATCTGCATCAGCTAATTTTAAATCTAAAACTGTGAAACACGACGGATCGGACATGTCTACATCGGCCGAGTTGTCGTGCTCGAATTCCCCGCAAAACGGGATTGCGGCTCCCACCTCCAAAACGAATGAGTCGGAAAATGCGACTAACACACGTACTGTGGGTACGGTGACAACTTACGCTGACGCTGGAGTAGCAACGGAACCGGAAGCGTTGGGGCCATGTGAACCCGGAACATCTGTGCGCTTGAGTGGAATTGTATGGCACGAAACAGAATCGGGTAAGATCATATTTCCTCATCATACTTCCAACGATAAATATTATTAAATTGAAGGTCTTGATATTAAAGTTTATTGTACATAAATAGATTGAAACGGGAAAAAAAGTTTTCCATGGTATGAAATTTTACTAGTTGCTCTGTTCCATACATAAAACGTGTCCTCCCATGTTTCAAAAGCTGCTACGGCATTTAAGGATTCTGTGTGCCTCTGTGATTAATTAATATTATTAGCATAATTGTTTCACTGTAGCAGATGACATTAAACAATTCATTTCGATAAGTTTGTCTGTCGTCTGATTAGTGCGTGACATAAGTATTGACTTGAAGCCACAGCGGGACATGCGATGCTATCAATAAATCGATAAAAAGAAAATTACTCGGCATTGAGTAGATTTGCGCAATTGTTTTATATAATAAATCAGGATGAAAATATAATAAAACCTGATCATGTACGCAACGTTGCTCAAAATATTTTCGTCACGTTTCGACTATATCATAGTAACCAATAAATTCGATTTACTATTTCGATTTATAATATATAGGTTTATATATAGGTAATGCACGAAACCGCACGCTATGTAACATTTGTTTACCCGCGTTGTTATAATGTAGTGTAACTATGTTTACTCAAGATTATTTCATAGACATGAAAAAACATGAAAGTTAATCTGTTATGTACGCATTCCAGGAAGTCAATTTTAAATATGTTGCAGGAATATATAAATTAAACATTTTTTAGCTTTGACAAGATCTTAACGCGTGTCTGGTCGGAAATTAATTATCTTTAAAATTGGAATTTTTGCGCACATCAAATGTGGTAATTATGTTTAAATAGCTTTTATTCTTACTCTTTTTAACTTATGCCATATGTGCCCTTTAAGTATTAGAGCATTTATCTAAATTTTAAGTATTCTGAAAGATGGAAGTGTTTAAATTTCAATTTGCTATATGTTCGGTTTCGAATGCATTATTGTAGAAGCCAACTATGCCTTACTTCAGTCATACGTTCACATAATGTTTTTTTTAATTTAGCTTGTTCTGGATTTAAAAATATTTGATGACTTCATGCAACATTATGCTAAGTATAGACTTGGCAATTACGCCGTGATGCATGTGCCATTTAACGCGTAGCCGTATTCACAAAGCTTGCAACAATACACCCTTGATTCGTTTCCTCAATCAGTAATCATATTGTATAGCGCAAACCAAAATCTGATTAAACGTCGAAATTGTGATGTTATTTGTTTGCTTCCAGTTCAAAAAGTATTTCGACTCAATGCGAAAACTATTTCACCGAAGCTATTAGTCCTAATATAGGCTTTGGCAGCAGTCCCATTTGGTTGATCGATGCCTCGTAGTCCAACCCAATCTGTAACACCAATGATTTTAACACTGTTTCCAGTATACAGTCGATTTGATATATAAACTGCGTATAAAAATCGAGACTAATTTTGATGTTGAATATATACATACACTTGGTAATCTGATTTCGTTGTTTGTTCCAATAGACACGAATCAATTAAAATCAAAACATCATGTCCTTTTTAATTTGACGAAGTTAAAATACACTGAGTAATTACGGTATGTAAATGCCACTGTTTCGCTCGTTATTCATTTGCGTGTAAGCTGCTGTCGTGTATTTTCTCAAATATTGATAACTCCATTTCGGCATGACCAAATGTTCAACTTTTGTGGTTCGAAAATAATTTCTTTTTTGTGAAGGAGTTGACATAGGTTATCGATTATGTTCTGACAGCAATGATGTAATTCCTATTGCAACTATCCTCGTTTATAACACAACACTATATTCAAAGGATATATATGCAAATGAGAACAAACGCGTCAATAATTGTTTGCTAGCACAATCTGATAACATTTTTCTATACAGTGTAACAATATATTTATATTTTACCTACTCCTCTCGAATTGGAAAATTCGGTGCTTTCTCGCGAGAAATTGTTTATATAAATATAATGGACTATTTTTTGTAGTTACTAATTTTGTCGAAAAGTTTAGTAATATTTTTGTAATGTTTACTAAATCGTAAAATAATGCTGTGGTGCTGCTTCAGAATTTATATTGCCATGAGCAAATTATATTTGCATCGACGTCGGTCGCGGATTTATGTCGAAAGGTTGCGAGCAATCAATCTTTATCTCATAAAATGACGGGTGCGTCACGAGCCGTACAAATCGAGTTTTAACCCTTTCGACTTTGTACGCTCTACGACTAGGAGATCCGTGTCAAAGAACTTGTACAAATGAAATTCTCTTGAGAAATGAAAGTCTCGCAAGGGACTAAAGGCCAGTTGTAATATCGGAATTATTATTATTGCACAATTTAATCAGTCCAAAAGTAGTTCGCACGGTTTCCGTATATTGTGTTAAATTTTCCTTTGCATTTACTATTAAGTGCACTTTGAATTTAATTCCATTTGTTTATTCCGCTGCGACGACAAATTATTCCGATATTTCCTTCAGGCGCCAGATGTGGAATACCTAACCCCGACTCTACTTCTCTTGAATCAACACTCCTATTGCGAATGATTCATGAACTTTTTTCTATACGTTCTCTCGTTTTGTGAATTCGATCTACATAATTAACGGCTCGAGACCAACCGCGACGCTTAAAAAGACCGGAAAGTCGTTTGATAAGACGAAGTGGTCGCATGATTGTCACGGAATTAGATTCGGCCAAAATTGATTTACGATCAAAAGTTGATCACTACACTGCGTCTAGTTTATTTTCCAGACAAATCATATCTTACATGCCCCAGTACTATAATTGAATTCTACTTTAATTGAGCTTGCGTCAATCGCGTCAATATTTCATGAGCCAAATATTTATTTTAATACGATCAAAATAATGACGGAGTATCTGATATGTTTCTGGTCATGTAATTGTTTCAAAAACGCCAACGGCTGCTATGGAAGCGATTTAATGTTAATAAAAAGTTTGTATATTCCCGATTTCTACCGAGTAGCCGGAAAGTATTTAGTATGTTACACTAAAGATTTTGGATAACGATACGCTTCATATCTGATCGCGATATCATTCATTTTAGGGAGCGTCTATGAACTGTTTTGAACTTTTAATATTAATGTTTTTATCCCTAATTACAGGGGTTTTGGTTGTCAATGTTACATGGAGAAATCGATCGTACGTTGGTACTCTTCTTGACGCTACCAAACATGACTGGGCGCCTCCAAGGTATGCTTTATTAAGTTTTATTATATTACCAAAACTTAGTTAGAGTCGTCTATCTTAGGCTATATTATATATCACTGACTGTTTTTGCTTGATACACTGTGTTTTAAAATCCTGCTGAGATAAGTGGAGTATGGATTCCATCGTTGTTCGGCCTAATAGGATTACGACGGTAGTTATTAATGACCAACCCTTTGATGTGGGTTTATCCAAATACTCATTGGCGTATGTCTGCGATACATGAATGAAGCGAAGAGGGCTAAGGTCAAACAATTTTAATCTGCTTCGACGACAACGTTTTAACTCGATGACGATCGATTGTTTTCCAAATCGCTTTATAATTCCTTTCAATCGCAGAACACCAACGTTGCTCGGTTTACAGGTTGTTTGACATTGTTTATCCGAATCTGACACTGAGTAAGTAGGCTCATATAACTATTGTATCAATCAGGTGCATTGGCACCTTAATGCCAAAACGGAGCGATAGGGTATCCTTCATCTACGGTTAGTGTGAACAGACATTCGTTAGTAGTGTTCCGTGCGTGGGTGATTATGAACATTATTTTTATTTTTTGCAATTAGGATACCGGACGCCGATAGCGATGTCGAATTTCGAGTAAAGAGTGGGCGACCAAAACGTCAGCGAGGTAACGGCAACGGATCCGGTGCGGATATTGGGGGACGAAAAGGCAGGAAATCAGCTGTGGCGAATAATGGTGACGATTATAAATGTAGCCCATCTTCGAATAAACGGAGGAGCAATAAGGTATATATGCTTTTACAGATTGAGTTAATAATAGACCAAGTAGTAAATAAACATGCTTATTCATCATATTGAGTAAATGATTGAAATAAGAAAATGAAAAATAAGTATAGATATACAAGTAAGTGTTGAAGTAACTTCAAGTCTAGTAAATGAAAAGTAAACGAAATTGATATAAAATGGAATGGTTATACATGTACTCATATTTATACCATTCTGAATGTAATCCAGGTATTTTTTCGTTCTATTGTTGTTTCGTAAGATGAACCAAAAAATCCAAAAACTTTTGCTACTTAACTATTATTAAATACTTTTGTAATTACAGATGTCAGAATCAGACGCATGTTCTGGCAACGACGGAGAAATTTGTACAACGCCAAGCAAATCGGCTAAACGCGCAAGAATGTCTCGAAGTGCAACAGCTAAACAAGCAACGCAGAAAACCACGAACTCGATAGCAACGAAAGAGGCAACTTCGGGAGATGGTTTGTCTTCATTTTTTTCGTAGCGAGTTTTTAACATAAATTTTCTTTCTAACAAGACAATATTGAAACGCGAGATAAATCAATGTCTTTGAATAGGATTATTGTATTTTGCAAACGATTCACGATAATACCTTTTGAATTAAATCGTTTTCTTTGTTAGGTAATCACTCGTAAACGGAACTCTAAATTATTAGTGCTGGATTAAGCGAGATAAAAATATCGTGTTAGTGTCTCTTACAAATACTAATATTCGCCTCAAAATTTATTATTCAACTTTTCCATATAAAAAGCGGTAAATGGTTCCGGATGAATTAAGTAAATATGCTCTGATTGAAAGCATTTAATTTATTTTTACGTTTAGGTACTTCTGGCAGTGGATCATCCGCTTGTTCATCTCCGATCTTCATGGAATGTCCTTACGCTAATTGCAAGAAAAGATACAAGTAAGTGTCCAATTGCACTTTAACTATCGCTCTCGTCCTAAGAGAATATGTAAAGTAATATCCGAGTCAATGAGTGGATGTTTTTGTCACGCTTGTTGCCAAAATAAATCACTTGAAGGATTTTGGCCTCGGGCGACTCTGACGATATCGAATCACTCGTTGCGGTTTATTTTCCCCAAGATAATGTTATTTTTGTCAGGTAGATATTTTGTGAGAAAGATAAAGCGCAAAATAATACTGTTATCATGACTTGATATCTCAAAAACTTAAATTATATTCGCCGAATCTAAATAAAACAGCGTTGCGCAACATTTTTGAATTAGTGGAATTCACAATAAATATTTGGTGTGCGCTCCACGGAAACTTGAATTCTTTCTTCGTATTGGATTATATCACTGATCGCTTCTTCTTCTTGAATATACAATGTGTTTTTAGGGATGACCTCGCATTAAAATATCATGAAGCGCATGCTCATTCTGGAGAGGAGGCCGATGAAGCGGAAAAGAGTGGACAGGATGCAGATTATTTAGCAGCAGACTCGCCTAAAGACTCTGACAATCTTTCTTCTAAATCGGGAGAAGAATTGCCTACTTCCGAGTCGAGTGGCAGTCCTTCAGTAATTGAAAATGAACCAGTATCCACACAAGTAAAACTCGGATCGACTATCCATCAAACTATGGAAACATCGTCCAGCAATCAAGCGCCTTTTGTCATCACCCAACCCCCATCGACCTCCGAACAAATCTCACCACCGGTCCCTATGGAGACTAATTATGCTGAGAAACTTCATACCAGTGAGGTCTTGAGGGTTCCTAGCGAATACATGACATCGGTCGAAAAAACTATGACTGCACAGGATCAGCCGAAAATGCCAGATGGTGTTATTTCGCCTTATACATTGACAGACTCTCAGACAAATGAATCTATTAGCTTGAAAAGTCATGGTCAGTCCTCGAAGACGCCTAGATCATATCACACTGTAAGACCGACCAACACATATGGTAATTTATTTAGTCACTTGCTGAATTGTAGCGATTTTTGAAATGTGAATTAAATATTACTTTTTATTTTAACAGCCGAATCGACAAGGCCACAGTCTGAAACTGGTGCTTCATCTGAATCCACAAGTGCCGTTGATAATGAAAGCGCTTTAGCTGTCAAAACTCTCCTCCAACTTCAAGATAGCCAGGTACTATTTTCGTCACAAGTTGACCTGTTTCTTTCTATGAATATTTTATAGTGATTATATTTTAGACTTTTCTTCATTGCAGGACCAGCTACCCGGCTTGACACCTTACAATCAAGCTTCACAAGCGCAAGCTATTTCGATATCATCGTCCGACCCTGTTACTTCAGAAACACCTGTTCAATCCCATCCCTCACACGTACCGGCAAATGTCAGCATTCCCTCGCCAGTACCCGTAAGTATCGAATCTCAAACGCCAGGAAAAGTACAACAGAGCCAACATGTCCCGGCATCACCATTTCGCGGACACGCTCACTCAAAAGATGGCTCTCCACTCCCTCGCATGTCTGTGGGGATTTCAACCTCTCGAAGTACTGGAAATATTACTGGGCAATATGTCAGCGTAGGTGGGTTCCCTACTTCACACAGCACAGCTCAAGAAGGTGTTGCGCATTACGCGCCCAGTGGACAACGCACTGTAAAGGGCAAAACCGTACCAATTCCGACAGATCCACAACAAACAATTACACCGCCTTCGCAACCTGGGAGCGGAGCACCTGTACCGGGACCTGCAAATAGTTTTAAAAAGCAAAAGCGCAAAAAGCCACTCAAGGTAGAACCAGGAAAGTCACCAACTGATACTGTGCTAAAACCAATTTCCGGTCTTCCAACTGTCAGACCACCATACAGGGACGAGGTGCAGAAACCAACAACACAATCGGGCGCCGTCAGAATCAAGCAAGAGCAACATCATCAGCAAGTTGGACCAACTGGTCCTCCAACATCTGCCTATCAAAAAGTACCCCAGGATGCCAATAAGGCCCAAATGTTACCCCAATCACTGAGACCCAACGAGATAAAATTGGAGCATGGATTGAAAGTGCCACAGGCCGGGCCTCATCAGCGACAAGGTTCTGGGTTTGCTTATCCAAATGTCTCTCAAAGTCAGAGGCCGCAATTGTACTCCCATCCTGATTATCCGGGACACAACGAACAGACACAGCGGCAATTACAAACTGGTAATAAAAACAATAATAACAAGTTGGCCCCAACTAGCCTGAGCCAAGAAATCGGAGTAGCACCTGCAATGCCGCACCATGTTTCGCATTCTCAAAGGGCAGCAAGTCCTAATATTCCAATTACGCCCGATTCTCGTGATTCCCAACAGATTCAAAGATCAGGCAGCGATGGGCGACCCAGAAGCAGCCATCTTGTTGTACCGCACAGTTCATCGCATTCCTTACCTGGTAGCCGGAGTTTGACCCCCGTTAACCAACCACCTGTTCAACAACATAGACAGAATCCAACTGCTAGCAGGGACAGTGGGCCTTCAACGAGCTCTGGTGCTGATCCTGAGCAACATGCTACTGCGCCACATCAAAGGAGGCCTTCTAGTAAGGAATCTAGTTCTCCTCCGCCACCATTAGACAGAAGGTTGAGTATGGATGACCTAAAACAAAGTCCAATGTCGATATCGAGAGCGGCAGCATTTGCAGCTTCACCAGCCATGCAACAATTATTTAGTGGTGGGCTATACAACCAATACAGATATGTCCCAGCGCCGTCTGGATACGATCTCGCAAGATATCAATTCATGAATGATCCACAGTTCCAGTAAGTTAACCTGATGGTTTTGTAGAATAGAAGTAGTGTCTCTCTTGTGTGAACATTATTATTATTATTTTTAAGCTCTTTTGTTATCTCGCAATCTGAATTGGTCAGAGCAATTTTCTTTCGGTCCAGATATTTTTTTGTGGTACGTGACCAATGATGCACCTTGGTTAGACACACTAAATAGGGGTTCATTTCGTGATGACTAATCGTTTTAAATTCTACCGAAGTGCAGCAATTTAACTTCCGCTTGTTATTTAGGCAACATTACGAAAACGTCATCCAACAAGAAATGTCAAAAGATCAGAACCTTCAAAGCCAGGGTGAACAGCACGTTGCTGTGCCGTCTTCGCGTCATAGAGCAACTCCCAGTCCAAATCCCCAAGCCCGATCTGCACGGCCAAAATCTCCGAGGCCAGAAGACAGGAACAGCAGAGGGGGATCACCTGTTCGGGGACAATATTATCCACCCCAGCATTCCATGCAAACTCAGGTGAGTCATTGTCTCAAGTAACATTGGTCCTGTATGAACAAATGTATTGTTACTATTATTGTATTGTTAACGTATTATGTCTTTTTCAGCCCGCGCGAGGTTCACAAGCAGTCCACCAACAACACTTGCAGCACCACCATCAGCAACAACCTAGGGTTTCACCAGTTCCACACGCAAACCACCCATCAACTCCCAATAAACTTGGCGCCACTGTTCCTCCTGGTTCGCGAGGATTGTCTCCTCATCCGCAAGCCACTCCATCTCCTTTGTCAGGTGCGAGGCCTCCTCGGCCAAACTCCGAAGCCGAAAGATTTCATCGACGAGAACACAGCATCGGCGAGAGACCTTCCACGGCTTCTAGAATATCAAACATGACTCCTGGCAGAAAGCCACAACCAAAGGAAGGCTATCCTGAACACAGGCCGCAAACTCCAGACAAGGTGAGTCGGTGGCTTTTCATATGAATTATGTTTTCGGGTTTCAACTTGATTCTTTGGATTTAGTTATTAAATATATAATTCTTTAAAAGCTTTAAATGATTTTATAGGTTTTTATTTTTGTTTCAGGCAAAATCAGGACAGCCTACCACATCCGTTTATGCATCGCCTGGCATGCATGTATCAGCAATGCCGCCTGGCGCCCGACCTCCAGTGCAATATTACACTGCTCCGATTTTTGACCCGAGGAGTATGCCACCTTACGCAGCATTTCCTGGTAAGCAAAATTGATTGGTACTTATTCAATTTAATCTATACCACTTTAAATCCACTTTTTTATGCTGTCTGTTCACATCCATGAAACCAGTCACTCTCCTCAGCTCCCTGAAGCTAAGCTACTTATTGAATTGAATGGTAAATCTTGATCTAACTGTTTATCAGCGTTATTGATTAAAAAAGAATTGGGAAGTCATTCAGTTTATCAAACTTCACATTTTATTTTCAGCAGCGTATGCTATGTTCCCGCCTGGCGCCCCAATTTTTCCTGGACATTGGCCACCAGGAGGTCCTCCGACTACTGTAGTGCAGGGCGGTCCGCCAAAGGTACCTTCAGTATCTCCCCATTCCATAAAACAACCCAGGGAAAGATCTCCAAGTGGTTCAAGGTAACATTGAACTTTTTACGTTACTGATTGGAGTGATTGCGCTAATTGATTGCCGATCCTTCTCACTCATACTATTTATTCAATTCTCTTCAGATCGCCGTTCAGGGACGAGAGCGGTAGGAGATCACGTGGTGAAATGAGAGGTCGCGAGGGGGAGCCGTACTCGAATTCGAAAGAGCGGCGAAGTTCAGACGGTAATTATCAGATTTCGCATTTCTGCAATACGCAAAACTCAGTCGAAATTTGAAATTTAAACATTTTTTCATTTTAGGACCGATACAAATAAGAAAATCCGCGACACCAGACCCCAAAAATCTACCGGTTAGAAATTCCACCGGAGACGGAGGTTCAGGGACAGCAACTCCACCTACGCAACGTCATCATCACACCCACCATCACATTCATGAAGGAATTCCAATCTTGCCTCACCAGTACCCATATCGTAAGCTTATATTCAAGTTTAATAATCGAATAATCTTGTCCATTAATCTAAGGTCGGATAGTTTCTTACCCTATGATCTATATTTTTCAGCTATGGCATCGGCAGTAATGGCGGGTTCAGAGGCAGCGGCGGCAACATTAGCTCCAGCGTCTTTAGCACCTTTTCCTAAAAGGTAGGATTTGCAAACAATGGCATAATTTCGTTTTTTGAAGTATATTATAATATTCTGATGTCGCACAATATATAAAACTGGCGATTTTACTTTCATATGCCGGTATGCTATGTTGTATTTTTCTAGTATTGTTGGAATTTGCAATTTCACAACTAACGAACTAAATATATGATATTTCAGGGATATACCATGACAACCGATGAGCGTGGAGTAGAAAAACCTGTTCCGTCAAAACAAGTTTCCGAAATTTGCGAATCTATCAGTTTGCCAAAGTTCACCAGTGTGCTGCCTTTGACCGTTGAAGCTCGGAGCAATTGCCCCATTACCGATGTCATCAGACATCCGATATGACACATCCCCGAAATGGCAGAGAATTAAATGGGATGAAGATATTGAATGAAGTTTCTCTATTTTTGTCGCTTTTTTATTATTACTATTCCGCAATATCGTTTGACTGCAAAATATTTTTTCAATTATTATTATTCACCTGAATGTTGTTTGGATAGGTAGATCAAATATGTTTAAACTTGATCGAATGAATGGCATCAATGCAAATCGTTATGAGGCTTACTTATTCATTTTATTTGCCTTATGTGCTATGTTGAGGACATTTCCGCTATTGATCTGAAACTAAATACTGAACATTATTCAAATACCCATGTGTCGGGCCTTTATCAATGAATTTCACGAATACTTGACTACATTGAAAATTCCAAACCATGCTGCACTGTGTCGTGATTTGCGTTTGATTTTTGATCACCATTTTTGTTCTTTTTTTCTGCTTTCTTGATCTATTTTTCATATATTCCGCTTGATTTTTACGTGCTGATGACGAATTGATGATGCCACGTTGTTATTATTCCATTATAGCACAATAAAACGTGATTCGAAATTTACTTTCATTACTTGATGATACTTATCGATGCATGCTGAGGGCAATAGCAATGAAGAATTGGCTAGTTCGAGGGAAGTAGAGCAGGGGTGTGCAACCTTTATACAGGAGGTCCAGATACAAAAACCTGAGTGGAACCGCATCTTTATTTAACAAGGCTTTCTATTAATTCGCAGGCAAAAATTATGGTTACTGACCTTATGGCATGCAATGTTCGCTTCGCATAAGCTAGCTGTTATGGCATTGTAACGTCATAGGCAAAGATAATAATCATTTGGAGGCTTTGCAACGCAAAGAAAAGCATTGGAATTACTCTCACGTACCAGATTGAACATGATTTAAAAAATTGTTCGCGGGACACACACATTCAAAATTGGCATTTCTCCGCGGACGTACAATTTTTCCTTGTGGGACGCATTTGACCCCCAGGTTGCAGACCCCTGCCGTAGGCCTACATCAACGGTTGGGAGACTGTGGCCCGCGAACAAATCACTTTTAATGCATATAAACAAAAAATGCTGCTAACTTTATTATCTGCGCACGGTTATATGTTGTAACAGTGGTGTACGGCGTCGTTTGCTATGTGCAGCAATTGGCGTACGCCAGTGGTTCTTAACCTGTGCGAGCCTGCCAAATCCTAGTGGCCTAGTGCTATTCTACAAGCTCTCGTAAAACGTATTAAACGGTTGAGACTAGGGGCGTAATCTGAACTTTATAAAGGGGAAGCTAAGTTATAGAGTGTGGTCATCATGGTCAGAGACGGATTAAGCCCCCTCGGTGCCCTAAGCACTGAAGACTTTGGGGCCCTCTCATGTGTAATTTAATTATATAAACAATAAACCACATAAGTGTAATATCCATTAATAATCACAACCAACAGTGAACAAAATAACTTTTAGGAACATTTTTGGGTTTTTTAACTGTTATATATAGCCGATATATATATCGTTCGTTTACTGCCGATATGATATATCGCAAACACGCAATATCGGGCCAATATATCGGTTGAGCTTCAATCCTGAGGGAGTGTGACAATGAAGATTCATGCCTCCAGTCTCAACGTGAATCGAAATAGCAAAGTACACAAGTCACAACTGTAGTTTGTGAAATTTTACCGGTACCTAGTAGTCTACCTCAGGGTGGTTCAAGGTTGCTGGGTTGAAGGACCGCAAAACCTTTTGAGAAGTCTCGCGGGCCGCAAGTCAGAGAAAACCCAAAAGTGATCGAAATATCGCGAGTTCAGTTACTTTAAATATATATAATAAACAGTTTACCGTTCTAATCAGGCTATTATTATGTTGCATGGGTGGCTTCCTTTTAAAGAAGAAAAATATATATATAAAGCCTCCTGTTATTTTAAAGTAAATTCCCGAGGATTACCGCTGTGTTTTGCGCATCTCGCGTTTAATGTCACTTCAAATTATATTCTTTCGTGACAGATATTACTTGAAATCAAACCAGACACTGTGTGATAGGCAAGGAAATACGTTTCCGCCGTGTTTTTCTATATGTCACCTTTCTTGCGACACTCATTTTATTACGAATTTTTAATTGAGTAATTTAAAAACGTCAGCAAGATTATTGCTATCGTCAGATACCAACCAAGTCCGTCTAAGTTGGTAATTCGGGACCGAGCTTTGCGGGGTTGCACTGCGTTAAGTCGGCTCTGCGTTTCGTCACTACTGTCACATGGCCGACGCTTAAAACAGAGGAGTGTTTTTACTAAAATAAAGGCACAAAGCGTTAGAAAAGGGGTTTGAATCTCGGGATCCCAATTCCAGTTGGAATAGCTAAAAAAAACTTGAAAACGTTCCTCCATTAGATACAAATATACGCTAAAATTGTTCGGTGAGCCGCACGGAATATATCAGCATGACATGGTTTGGACCATCCTGATCTACATTATCAAAAAACTCCCGACTTCGCTGACCACTAGATCGTTGAAATGCGATCGTGAAACCGCCACATAGTGTAAATAGTTCATTGGTCAAATTGTTGAAAAGAAAACTTTTATTTTTTCATTCGAATTAATTACTAAATGATGACATGGATCAACTATACTGAACCTCAAATGGACATGGATGTATTATCTACATATATTTGATTGATAATTTGGTATTGATTTTGTAATTTGTTAATGCAATATGACTTTATCAAATGGTGGTAATTAAAATCATGATATTCAAAATTCCAATAAATGAATAATAAACTTGATCTAATTCGGAAATAAGAAAAAGAAGTTGTGGATGCCGTCATAATTTACAGCGCCAATTAATTAGAGGCGAAAATTAATGTGGCCCGCACGCTTTCTTTATTAGACAATGAATATATTTGTACACAGTATTCAGACCTGCTTTTTATTAATCACGATTTCCAGGAGAATTATGTAAAGGGCCAGTCATATCAATGGAAAGTTGATCGCATAACTAGGCCAACTAATTTGCGCGAAATGATCACAAGCAAGTTCGAACAAAACTCGATAGATTGCAATATTACTTTACCCGACTGCTGCTCCTGTCTAGATTTTAATGACTTACTCTTGCTCTGCAAATTAAGTTTAAAAACCTTGCTTTCAGCAAACTGGCATTCGGCACAGAGTCCAACAAGGCACATGTAACTCCAGTATACATTTGGGAGTTCAAGAAGTGAATGAAGAACACTATTAGTCGCTTTTTTAGCATACCTTTGTCCTTATAAACGAAGTATGGAAAATATTCGCAATTACAATATTTATTAAAAATATTCAAATAATATTAATGAGCAGTAGTTGTAACAATCAAACAATGATTGAATATTTACACAAGGAATGATAATAATTAAAATCGAGAAATCAAAAGCACAATTTATTAGATTATCAAAAAATACTTAATGTTTGCAATTGAAGATGAAGATTTCAGTCTGATTCAGGTTGAAGCTAACAAATAACCTCAATTGTTTAGGAAGTTCTTTGTCAGGTAGAACATTTCTAATAGAAGATACTGGCTCGACAGTACATGAGATACACAGTACAGGCACTTGCCGTAAACACAAGAGTTCTACATAAAAGATATATAGAGATGAGTAGGCCTGGATCCAAATGTTGACAATTTTAAGTTTGAATAATGACTTAGAATGAAGAATGTCGAATGAATGAAAAACAAATGTGGATATTGTCCGAGAAGCCCGAAAAACTGGGATACCAAAAAATATGCAGATGACAAAGTTCACAAACACGAATAGGATCCAAAACGAAATGAAAATTAAAAAAACGCAGTGATAGGTCACTCCAATCTAATTTGCAACATTATTGTACTTGTGAAATAAATAAATTCGAAAATGTGCATCAACATTCCACATCATGACCATGATAAGAGTTTTACACTAAAATTAGGAATCTTTAAAAATGACAAATACACTGAATCTATGGGTGGATACATCATAATACCTGATTAGCTAAAGATTCAAACAATCAGGGGACCAGCGGTAATACTGGTGATTGGTATTGAAGATTTTTTTTAAGAGGAAATCGATCAGCTCAAATTATTCATTGCTGTAAGATCAAAAAGGATTCAAAAACAGAACATTAGTTTGTCATCTATCTTCGTCTTGGGTAAAAATCAAGGGAATATCATGCTTCATCACACATAAGACACAACCGATTGTAACATAATCCACGCGCTTTTTCGAAACAATTAGAAAACACCTTGAATTTCATAGTAGGCTATGTCATCCTCGATGACAAGTTGAAATCACCCCATTTTGCATATTTGATAACATTTCAGGCCTGGCCTGTAAACTTCTCATCACTCAGTTAGGAATTCTTTTCAATAGAAAATCTTTATTCTTTCCAAGTATAGAAATAAACTTGTTGCCAAGCAGGTAAGTATCGAGCGAGTGGTTGAAGAATGAAACGAACGAGAGGCACATGATCAGATAAAACTTGAATCATCTTCATTACTTTAACCCTGAAATGAAATCATATCAATACAATATGAGCAGTTGTAAAGATAATAGCAGTATTATGATATTGCATACTTGAATGAAACAAAATGTATTAACAAATGAAGGCTCAATTTGTCAAACTGATCATTTGAAGCAGAAATTGCCACAATAACATTTTATTGATAGTGAAAAAAATAGTATCAATAATTTTACATAAAAAGGTTATTGAATATCCATGAAATAATATCAGAAATTATTCCACATATAGACTGTATGTTGTGAAGAGAAAAAGGTGCTAAAAAGCTATTAGGACAGTGACTATGACAATATGCTATCCTAAATTTTCTTTGTCAAGTGGTATTGGTTATTTATGAATTTAAATTAAAAAACTTCGTAACTATTTACCGATAGCATATATAGTATGTTGGCCTCACAGGTGTATTTGGACTCAATTAAAAAAAACTTGAATAAATACTGATTAGAATGTAACCGGTAATAAGATATATTGCTAACATACTTCATAACAAAATGGGAATAGTAACGGGACTTCATGAACACCCTTTGCTGCATTATAATGAGTGACTATATATAAATAAAATAACGGTATTGAAATCTTACTTTGTGAATCTATCATATATTGGAGATCGTAGCAAATAAAATATCATAACTGCAGCTCGACGTCGCAATTCTTTACGTTCGTCACTGTTAAATCTTGTGGATGTTTTCAACTTTTCTTGGACATGCCCATTAAGCAAAGTATGTGATGAAGCATCAGTGACTAGAGATGCTAACCATGGTACGACTGATTGTGTGCCGAAAAAACCAACACCAATTACTATAAAAAATACTGATTAAGGAAAAATACATGTAACTGTATAATATGGCAGAACAGTTAGCGTAGTGTTCGGAAAGGAATTCCTTACCATAGAGGAATTTTTTTGTTTTCCAGGAAAAAATACAAATACAGAAATATTACTTTGTATTGAGTACAGTTTTACTAATAGTATTCAGTTCAGTATTATTATATTGCATTATACCCATGCACACACAAACTATTTGAATGGTACAAAAGTACGGGTGTGTGTTGCATTTAAAACTAGCTAGAGAGCCTTTACATAATGAATCTCCACTTAATACAATTTAATAATGATTATTTTAATTGACAAACTTGACTAAAAAAATAGTAGTTACCATAAAGTTACAGTAATCCACTAAATTCTAAATTCATTAACCAACAAGTGTTCATACTGAATAAAAAAGTTAATTTTTTTTTTAAGGATACAATGTATTATTGGTCGCAGGATGTGTAAAGTTTCCCCAACTCTTTCCAAATTATTTAACTCTGTTGGAGATCCTGGTGGAGTCGGAAACGAAGAATTAACGACCTTTCCTTCAAGCTCAAAAGACACTGACGAAGGCTTGGGTGTTTCCCAGCTTCTTGAATGTGTCGGTGAAGTGTGGTCCAATGTTCTCATGACGTGGCCTGTCCTTCGGCCCACGTATACATATGGTTCTAAAGAAAGTATAACATTTTTAAGAAAAAGAAAGATACTATCTGTTTCCCAAATTGACCTAATCAGTTAATCAATAACAGAGAGAGAAGCAAAGCCAACTCAAATAAACATTCATTAACGGCAGACAGTGAGTAAACAAAGCATTGCAACTACCGTAATTTAATATATGGAAACTCTTCAGTGCTAACAGCAAATAGGGCATGAGGTTAAAAATGGCCAGGCATGCAACATGGGTGGATGGGGTTTGTGCGGGGACTATGCCCAGGGGTGGCCGGTTGGTGCACAGTGCGTTACTGCTGGGAATGTGCTTGCCAACGCACCTATGATAACTTTGCGTGAGTTCACAGGTTGGAATTTTTTGGGGGATATTAATGTGCAAGAGAATTGCTGGAGTTCTCGCCGCTGTGAGGTAGCACTGATCGGTCACTTCCTCCACCATCAAGTCCATGTATCTGTAAAAGTAACTGGCTAACTAGTTCCATACCCGACATGGACTGGTAACAAGACCCAAGAGAAGAATGTTGAAAACTAAAAGATTGGAGAATACATTATTTACTACCATTTTAAAAACTGACATTCGTTCTGAAATATGAATTTTCTATAAATATGGATATGCTTATAATCAATTAATATTCTAGTTATACATAAAGTTCTAAATTTGAAATTTTCATACGTAGACATGAACAGCCCTGAATTTCTGAGGTGACAAAAAGCGAATATAGTCATAGTGATCAGTATATATAGTTTACCAGGTTTTTCGTTGCTAATTTGTAGCATCACCAATGTTAGGTATCAGAAAGTAAATACCGTACATTATCTTAGTAATTTGGTAGTGGTTGGTTTGTTCATCATTACATAGTGCTATGCCTTATCTCCGATTGCATTAAAAGACTGAGTTTGGGTTATTAAAAAGCCTTTTTGACATTGTCACATCTACCCAACTTATTTATGAAAGCTTTATCAACTTACTAGATTTGTTTTCAATATTATTAGAGTTGACATCTTGATCTTTAGAAAATAGAGTTTCCCGAGTCATTTTTTTCACTGGTGGATGAGTTTGAATGTTTGATTTGAATGCATACAACAACACCAGTCTCATGCAAGCCTGAGAATCAAACCAAATCAAAGGGTAAAAAACACTTTCTGAAACCTCTCTTGATGGAAACTTCTGACAGATATAGTTGCGAAGAACAGTGGTTTCCAACTCTATGTACTTCTTATTTGCCCATATTTGGAACTTGACATGAAATGCTAAAACTAACGCTGTTGGAGAGGTATAACAACTATACCGAACATTTGGCCGCATTATGAATTATGATTGTTTACAGTCTACAAAAACAAGCATACCTATTACATATAAGTGAGCATTTATTATAATACTTTTCCTTAAAAAATTCTGTCTAACAAATGGATTCCCAAACTGCACCCTCGGCCCTCCTAGGGGCCACTGAGCATTCTATTAGAGGTAGGCAAAAGCAAATGACAATCGCTAGATACCATTCGCATGTGATTTGTTAATTCTTATACTTTACTATATTTATTCTGTTACATTTTCTTTGCTAGCTTTTTTAATAATTAACAAAGTTCGTCAACTATCTAATTGAAAGGGCATCATGACTAGTGTTACAGAAAAGTAAATGAGTCGTTACTTCAAAATTTGCGGATCTCAGGTCTAGGGGAATGAAGCCAGACTAAATTCTATTTTGCATTACTACAAATATGACTTACCTTTATGAGCGAAATAACAACAATGACAGCCCATCTCGCACCTCGACCGCCAATTCGACTTGCAGTCATTTCTACAAATGCCTGAAGAAAATTTATGAGTTAGAAGCTGCAAATGAACTAGTTTATACATAGTCCATATTAGTTGTGCAATTAAAATTGCCTCTAAAATCTGAAGACCTATCATTCGCAAGCAACAAAAATGAAAAGCCTGTATAGTGACTGTATATTTTAAAAGTCACATATCGTATGTTGATGGAGTCAATATCAGAATAGTCATACTTGGATTATATCAGTACTTAGTTACAATCTAATTAAAAAAATGTTTGTTCAATCAGATCATGTTATTTGGATTTGGAAGAATACAGTATTCAAAGTTACATTGCTGTATCACATCTAGAGTATAAGCAGGTATTTCTCGAACTCCCTCTCCCATCAATAAAGGGGCCACATTGCATTTTCCTGCGTATGATGGCTTCACTAGCTGCAATTCATGACGACTACATTAAGTCAAAATATATTGAATACGATTTGTTTATTAGCTTGCCTGTAGTAATGCATTTATTCTTCTGTTGACACTTGATGTCTTTTTTATTATTGAACTTATAATATAATTGAAACAAAATCAGGTATTTTTATGTGAAAGCAGGGGGCCACCAGTGCCAAAAGGATGAAATGATGAGATGAGAACCGCCATTATGAGCCACAATAAGAGTTAAGTCATCGATCACCTGTGTGAATTCCACAATTGTCAGCCATCTCTCTAATAACTGCACAAATCTGACAGGAATTTTTTCACCATGATCAAAGCCATGAGATTTCTTCAATATACAGTCATTTACGTAAACAAATAAACCATTGGCTGAAGTCACTGTAAA